AACAATCACCGTCAGTATAATATTTGGTCATTGTTCACGGTAACAAAAAGCCAGGGATAACGTCGAAGACATTTTCTAACCAATGACTGAGTTTAATTTTTCGCTGCTTTTAGCAATGTCGCGGCGGTGTACACCAGGAAAGGGCTTCACATATGTGCCCTACATTTACCCCGACTCGACTCGACTCGACTGAGAAAATGCTGCTTATCTTCGCTTTCCAAATTGTTTTTCCTGATTTGTTGATATTGTTTTCTAGGTATACACAAACAGGTATTATCACTTTGTACAATGAATTAATAACAACAGTAAGTTCGTATTAAATGGGGGCGGTTTGGATAGCCTAGTGGTGAAAGCGTTCAATGGTCACGCCAAAGGTCCGGGGTCGATTTCTTACATGGGTACAATACGTAAAATCCATTTCTGGTGTTTCCCGCCGTGATATTGCTAGAATATTGCTAAAAGCGGCGTAAAAGTAGACTCACTCACTCAGAAATGTCATAGAGGTTTCATGCGACGATGCCACTTGTTTTTACATATTCTGGTTTTCTATATGCATGTTTTAGGTCATGGTTGGAGCTCAAGCCATTGTCCTTTTCCTTGACCTCCTCTGGTCACCAAAGGCCAGCACTTGTGTCGAGAGTTTGTCGAGCGCTGAACAGGTCATCGGATATATTGTTCCGCTAACTGATGTTAATACTGATACCACGATACCAGCTGCTCGGTGAGGGCCGATAAGGCTTAATGTAGGGCCAGGCATTGGAAAGCTTACCAAATGTGGAAATGGCCACATTGAGATGCCGGACGTTGTGCCGAGATGTGAAAGTTAGAGACAGAAGTGACCTTGTAGACGAAATGTGAGCGCGATACAGAGAGGGGGAGTTGTACATTGGAGTGTGTGTGCGGTTGAATTTCCAGTTGTTTGTGTGTGCGAACGTTCGTGTATGTGTTGATGGACACACACACACACACACTCCCTCTCACTCATGCACACAGACACATACAGACAGACGCACATGCAGACACACCGACACACACAGAGACAAAGACACACACACACCTACGTACGTAACTATCTACCTACCTACCTACCTACCGACATACATACATACATACATACATACATACATACATACATACATACATACATACATACATACATACATACATACATACATACATACATACATACATACATACATACATACATACATACATACATACATACGCACACACATATACACACATACATACATATATACATTCATACATACATACGCACACACATACCTACACACACATGCATACGCACACACACATAAACATACACACATACATACACACACACATACATACATACGCACACATACATACATACACACATGCATACATATATACATTCATACATACATACGCACACACATAACCATACATACACACACACATGCATACATACATACATACATACATACATACATACACACATACATACATACACACATACATACATACATACATACATACATACATACATACACACACACATACATACATACATACATACATACATACATTACATACATACACACATACATACATACATACATACATACATACATACACACACACATACATACATACGTACATACATACATACATACATACATACATACATACATACATACATACATACAGGGATACAAAACGAAAACAATGTATTCCCTTTCGTTTTTTACATTGTTGAAACATCAATAGTACAAAACAACTCGGCTAGGTTGTAATTTGATGTACTTGTGGCTGTGTGTATGTACCCATTTATCAGTTTGACTCTAACCCTTTTTGTACTTTTGAGGAAACGCGTAAATGATAAAGGTGTGCTCTGTCACCGATCAGAGACCAGGTTATCTGATCTTTGGAACCTTACATTACATCCACGCCGGGGTCCGGACTCAAAATGACTGAGCAAATATTTAAAGGTCATTACATTCATTATGTGATAAAAGATGATGCATTAAAAGCGTGTTTATCAAATACATTTAAGTTATCTTCAGTTTACATTCTTGCATTCCAAATTCTAGGTTCACTACAAAGAAATATCGGATACTTTGTCGGTGAAGCAAAAGGACTCCCTCAGCAGCAACTACATGCAGTTGCGACTCACCAACAAGGGTCTGAAGGTAGGCTCAATCTACACATTGCTGATTCAGTGGCAACGGGGAGATGGTAGGTGAGGTGGCGATTGATTGGCTTGAGGGGAGCAGCGAGAATTTTGAGGTTTGAATAATGTATTATTTACGCCAGACTCACCAACAAGGGTCTCAAGGTAAGCTCAATCTACACATTGCTGCTTCCAGTGGCAACGGGGAGATGGTAGGTGAGGTGGGGATTGATTGGCTAGAGGAGCAGCGAGAATTTTGAAGAATGTATTATTTACGCCAGAATCACCAACAAGGGTCTCAAGGTAATCTCAATCTACACATTGCTGCTTCAGTGGCAACGGGGAGATATTGGGGAGGTGGCGATTGATTGGCTAGGGGAGCAGCGAGAATTTTGAAGTTTGAATAATGTATTATTTACGCCAGACTCTTCAACAAGTGTCTCAAGGTAAGCTCAATCTACACATTGCTGCTTCAGTGGCAACGGGGAGATGGTAGGTGAGGTGGGGATTGATTGGCTAGGGGAGCAGCGAGAATTTTGAAGAATGTATTATTTACGCCAGAATCACCAACAAGGGTCTCAAGGTAATCTCAATCTACACATTGCTGCTTCAGTGGCAACGGGGAGATATTGGGGAGGTGGCGATTGATTGGCTAGGGGAGCAGCGAGAATTTTGAAGTTTGAATAATGTATTATTTACGCCAGACTCTTCAACAAGTGTCTCAAGGTAAGCTCAATATACTCATTGCTGAATCAGTGGCACCGACGATTTAAAAAATGGGGAGATGGTAGGGAGTTGGAGATTTACTGGCGTTGGGAGCAGAAAGTCTTTGAAGTTTGAAAAAATGTATTATTTACGTGAGAGTCCCAAACAGAGGTCACAAGGTAAAATCAATGAAACCGACCATTTGAAATAGGGGAGTTGTTAGGTAGGTGGCGATGGATTGGCTCGAAGACAGAGTACCTTTGAAGTTTTGTATTATTTATGACGTTCATTTCTTTGAGTTTTATGTTTATAAAACAAAATTAGCACCGACGATTTGAAATTGGGAGATAATAATAGGAAGGTGGCAGTTTATTGGCTTGGGGAGCAGGAAAGTCTTGTGAAGTTTTAAGAATGTATTATTTACGCCATACTCACCAACAAGTGTCTCAAGGTAAGCTCAATGAAACCTACCATTTGAAATTCAGGGAGGATGTAGGAAGGTGGCGATGGGTTGGCTCGAGGAGCAGAGTACCTTGAAGTTTTGTATTATTTATGCCGTTCATTTCTTTGAGTGTTTTTTTTCTTTTTTTTAAAGTCAGAAACAATTCATTCATTGCAAATTCAATGGCACCGACGATTTGAAATTTGGGAGATAATCGGGAAGGTGGCAGTTTATTGGCTTGGGGAGCAGAAAGTCTTGTGAAGTTTGAAGAATGTATTATTTACGCCATACTCACCAACAAGTGTCTCAAGGTAAGTTCAATGAAATCAAGCACTTGAAATCCTGGAGGATGTAGGGGAAGTGGCGATGGGTTGGCTCGAGGAGCAGAGTACCTTGAAGTTTGGTATTATTTATGCAAGGCATTTCTTTGGGTTTTTTAAAAGTCAGAAACAATGTATTCATTGCTAATACAATGGCACCGACGATATAAAATTTGGGAGATGATAGGGAAGGTGGCAATTTATTGGCTTGGGGAGCAGAGAGTCTTTTGAAGTTTGAAGAATGTATTATTCACGCCAGACACACCAACAAGTACCTCAAGGTAGACTCAATGAAACCGAACGTTTGAAATCGGGGAAGTGGTAGGGAAGGTGACGATTGATTGGCTAGGGGAGCAGAGTCTTTTGGAGTTTGGATAATGTATTATCTATACCAGGCATTTTCTATTTTTCAAACAGTTAAAAACATTGCTAATTCAATGGCACCGACGATATGAAATCGGGGAGGTGGTAGAGGAGGTAGCAGGCAAATGTAATTCAGAAAATTGTTTCATTTCTTTTTCATAAATATTCTGAGACAATGTAAGTAATCGCAGTCCCCAAACTTTCTTCGTGGAATATTGAATTTTTGGTCCCTAAGTAAATATACTGTCCATCTTATAAACTTTTAACTGTGTAAATGATATGAAATAGTTCTCTACTGTTTTCAGTAATACATGTTTTTTTCATTTTAGGCGGGTCAGGCGGCAACGTTCACTATAGAATTGACCGAAGATGTCCCGTTCATCACCTACGAGGTAATCGTCCGAACAAGATAGCTCTTTTTGACATAGTGCGGCTAGATTGCAAAACACCCCCAACACAATAATAAACCTTCTCACATAGTCCGTGTCCCTAAAATAGTATGTCCAAAAGTTTTGTGCCAAAATATATTTGAAACTTTTTGTTCAGTGTTAAATATAAAGTTATATATTGAAAGTTGTTCATTTTGTGTATATAGGTATTGTCCCGGGGGACTTTTGACATCACTGATCAAGTTAGTGTTGGGGGACAAAACCCTGTCCAGTTCAACGTTCCAGTATCTGCTACAATGGCCCCAGAAGCTCACATCATTGCTTACTACGTCAGGAAATCTGGGGAGGTTGTTGCTGATGGACTTAGTTTCAGTGTGGATGACATCTTCGACAACAAGGTAAACCTTTGTAGACAAACACAGAAAAAAAATAGATCAAATGCCAATCCTCACTTTATTTCGTGTAACACATAATTCTTAATATATCACAATTAACAGTTGTAAAATGATTGTAAATCAAGACTGATTAATCAATCTTTCAACATTTCAGGTGTCCATTGACTTCAGTCGCAACGAGTCAAAACCTCATGAAAACATTGATGTCTTGGTCAGCGCCGATCCCTGTCATCTGTCAATCTTCTGGTTGTCGACCAAAGTGTTCTTCTTCTGAAGTCCGGAAATGATATTACCACAGATCAGGTAAAACACTTTAAAAGAGATAAAACAGAAAGAGATTGAAGAAAGATTAAACAAGAAAAGGAATCAAGGTAAATAATCTCCAGATCTCCAGCCTTAATCCACTACCATATGCATTATTTACTGGAGCACACTTAATGTTCATGTACCGTGAAAAACTTCCTGTTTCATTAACAGGTTCTTGATGAACTGAAGACGTACAGCTCTGGACAAACTGATGGAGAATTTTCACCGGAAGTATTTGCCATTTCAAGCAGTTCGACACAAGCTTCTGATGTCTTCTCGGTTAGTGACCCTGTTTTCTGTTTATGATTTGAGGTTTTAACGTACATTTCTACTAAATGTTGCACACATATGATAGTTCAGTTAAATCTATCATGCTGATGTAAATAGGTTTCACACAAACTGGATACCAAGCTTTGACGTAGATCACACTGTATAATTCTGAACCTCACTAACTTGGAACCTTTTCAGGATGCTGGTCTTCTCGTTATCACTGATGCTAGATACTACGACTACAACTACTATGGCATTAATAAAGGTGAGGTAGATGACTTAATGTTGCTCATACTGTATAAATATACTTTCAACAGTTCTATTCATGATGCTAAGTTTTACAACAACGGGAAGTATCAGATCAAAGAGTTAGACATTTACGGAGTCAATATTTGTGCCACTCATCGAAGGGCAAATGTAATTTATGATTATAGGTTTTATGAGGGAGGCGTTTCACTGCCGAGTTTACTAGCAATACTTAAGAGATATGGCTGCAGGAGACACTTGTAATGGGCTGCCAAGTGTTACCAACATGGGAAATCAAATCCAGGGATTTAGCCTTAACCACGCCATTAGCCTAGCCTATTTAGTTTTGGTATTATGAGTAGAATACTCTCAAATCATACTTTTTAGATGTATACCTACCTACCTACCTACCTACCTACCTACCTACCTACCTACCTACTACATACATACATACCTACATACATACCATACCATACCATACCATACATACATACATACATACATACATACATACATACATACATACATACATACATACATACATACATACATACATACATACACATAGGTGTGCAGATTTTCAGTTATCCTACTCAATATTGTGCTCATCACTAGAGGGTAATGACTGCACACAGAATTCATTCAAGAAATTTAACTGGATAACCAAACTGCTACCACCGTTTATCGCCTGGGGAGCACGACAATGTCTATTTTGTGATGTGTTGCAGGACCGATTGGTTACACACCGATGCCTGGTGCCATACCTTATGGTTCACTAGCAGGAATGGGACACCTCGATAGGTTTGAAGGAGGTGAAAAGGGTTCGAAAGAACTTCCCAGAAACCTGGCTCTGGGTTAACAAGACAGTAGGGTAAGTGTATATAATCCTACGATAAATGGACTAGTTGGTACGAAATGCTACTGACTAGATTAACTGTCCATTTTAATTCGATGAATTTGATGTGTAAATCGGTTAATAACTGTAGTATGAGACGTCTTTTTAAACAACACATTTAATTTTTTTTCAGAGCTGACGGTAAAGCTACCATCAGTACCACCGTGCCTGACACTATCACCTCCTGGATCGCCAGCGCCTTTGCTGTCAACTCCGCCACAGGACTTGGTGTAGCCCCGTCTACTACAAAGGTATTAAAGGACGGTTGCTGTCCGAGATATTACATTATTTACTTCGTCCCTGCAAATAAGGATCTTACCTGAACCCCGAGGTATTATAGTATTTGCTTTCAACATAGCAATTACTTCACTTTCATCTCAATACCACTTCAACTTCAAGCAGTTTTCTTTGTATAGTGCAGAAAGAGAATGGGTATTTATTGTCAATCTGACCCTATTCACACCACTTGTTCAATTCAGATGGCAAGCACTTTCCGGAAAACATAGTTAATTAAATGGAATGCAACATTTGCTGCAATCTTATTTCTTACAATATTTTGTTAAATGTGAAAGTGATCCCTGAAATCTTTCGGGCCTTTCACTGCACATGAACCTTGTTCCACATGTGTACCTTGTTTTTCTTTCCCCCAAAGTGAAAAATAACCATGCAGAACCTAACATTCCAAAATCGGAAAACGCAAATGTTCACCAACATTTACACCTAAACCTGATATTTTTTAGCTGCGTGTGTTCAGCTCCTTCTTCGTGAGCTTGTCCATGCCTACCTCGGTGTTACGTGGAGAACAGGTCGTCATTCAAGCCAGTATCTTCAACTACCTCCCTAGTGATGTTGATGTGAGTTAATGATAAAAACAAATTCCATAGTTACCATCAACATATCAGTATAACACAATATGCTTCTTTATATAAAAAGAAATGGACGAGGTATAAACTTTTTACGATATCATTCCAACATGTTTGACAGGTGGTGGTGTCATTGCCAACTTCTACTGACTACACCAACGTGGTTGTCGACAGTACTGGGAAGACCAGGCAGGAGTCTAAGGACCAAACACATTACATCACGGTAGGTCGACATGGTGCTGCAAACGTGTCTCAGTATATTTTGTGTGTTTTCTTATATAATATGTGTTTGTGTGTCTGTGTTTTTTTACTAGCATGAATTCACCATCACCAAAACCTGTGTCTCCACAGATGAGTGCACCGTGTCGCCTCATGTCCTTCTAGCCGAGGACTTTCTATGAAAACTAATTAAATGAGTTTTCACATGGGTTGCGACAATTACACTCTGAATCATCGTATGTGTGTTTCCTGAATTCACAATAATTCAAGACACTACTGCCATTGTGTATTTATATTCTTTTTTAACTGTATGGTGAAATTGGCAATTGTCTGAGCACAAACTGGATTCTGATTCTGGATTCGGGGATAGCTGAGTATTTATTTATGGAATGTGTAATTTGCACCTCATTTCAACAAATTAGTATATCATCATTCCTTTCTAGTCGATATTGGCATTATCCTTTTTGTCAAATTTTGTTTCTGCAATTGTTCTGAGCGCTATATACACTGAGCCTTACTATGATTTGGTGATCTCTCTCAAGGTCAAATCCAACGAGCCCCAGACTGTGTACTTCCCCATCATTCCATCATCTCTGGGAGCTATCGACATCGAGGTGTCAGCACGAACAACTCTAGCCGCTGATGCTGTCAGGAGACAGCTCAATGTCCAGGTAATTAGTTTAGTAAAAAACATTATGTGCAAAATATTATAAATAATAACATTTAAATTGAAATATAATAATTGCAGTCTAGGGTAACACAACCGGAAAATGTTCTGAATTTAAAACGTCCATATTTTGTGACTTTTAGGTCGAAGGCATCCCCAAAGAATACAGCACACCTGTCTTCATCGAGCTGACACCAGGTGGTGCTGACTTCAACCAACAGATGGCACTTTCACTACCACCAGAGACGGTAACTGGTTCAGAGAAAGTCAGGGTCAAAGTAACAGGTAGGCGTACTGATTAACATTTATATGTTCAGGTCACTGTCAAAAGCAGCACAACCAGTTGAAGATAGTAAATCATATTCACCAATAGTGAAGGATCAGTGTACACCATGTACATCTCATTTGACGTGTTAAATGCCAGCGGTTCATATCACATAGGCCAATCCAGATGTTTCACTTTGCTAAGGGATACTTTTCTAGCAAGGTACTTGTTACAAAATCGCGAATCTCCATTTGTTTATGTATCATCTCCCATAATAGCTTACTAACGTGATTTTGACTTATCGTGTAGGTGACTTGATAGGCGCAAGTCTTGACAATCTGGAAAACCTTCTGGCACTTCCGACTGGATGTGGTGAACAGAACATGATGAACTTTGCACCAGATGTATATGTGGCCGATTACCTGTATGCAACTAAACAGATCACACCTGCCTTGGAGTCGAGGATCATGAGCTATCTGGAGCTAGGTATGTATACACGTATGACTAGCCTTGTGATGTAATGAACCCGTGAATCACGGCGGGGGCACCAGAAACGTGCTTCGCACATCGAACCGGCGTGACGAGCGAACGTTTTAACCACTTGGCTACCCCACTGCACAGCCGTTATTATAATCCCCAACGGCTACAAAGAAGGAGATGGATATGGATAATGGTATCTGTGTTATCTTAAAGACTGCGGTGAGGTCATCTTCTAGAAGTAATTCTCTTAAGCTCCGATATACCCATGTGATATTTCACAATAAACTTATACCTTATGCTCCCACCAGCTTCTTCGGGAACTATTTCTCATAAGCTCCAATATACCTATGTGATATTTCTCATTAAACTAATACTTTATGTTCCCATCAGCTTCTTCGTGAACTACTTTTCATAAACTCCGATATACCTATGTGATATTTCACAATAAACAAATACTTTATGTTCCCATCAGCTTCTGTGGATGGTTTACAATGAGTGAAAGTTTCTGGTAACAATGTTCCTGAAACGTCTGCGTGCAATACATGCATACCCTACAGACCAAAAGTGATTCGGTCATAACTTGTGCTCTAATGTATTTCGAAGTTGGTTGATCTTTTCTCCAAAAGATGTTCTCTACTTCCCCTTTGTCTCTTCTTCAGGATACCAGAGGGAACTGGCCTATCAGAGATATGATGGATCCTTCAGTCCTTTCGGAGACCGAGATGAGGCAGGACACATGTGGTGAGTTTTCACTGTCCCTTCAAACAGAAGCTGCAATCAGATGCAAACTGCCAGAACAGTCCCATTGTGGTAGCGTTTTTATCTAATGTTGAGGGGATTCTAACATTCAGATTTGTTTCATAATCCTCAGGCTGACTGCATTTGTAGCCAGAACTTTCCATCAGGCAAGACCCTACATCTTCGTGGGCAACCAGACTCTAGGAAATGCACTCAACTGGATGGCCAACAGACAGAATCTCGATGGGTCCTTCAATGAACCTGGACTAGTTTTTGACAGACAAATGAAGGTAGTTATCATGCCCACTATTCACTCAATATGTCAATTCGCTGATATTTCACCCAAGAGACACTGGCAGACAACTAAATGTAGTGATTTCTTTCACACATGACTTCTCAATAGTTAAGGTTAAACGTGTCTGTTGTTGATCTTATTAGATGGTTGTTTTTTGTTCAATTTTAGAGCTCCAAAGCTTCATTGACTGCTATGGCCTTGCTCGCCTTCCTTGAGAACCAAGACATTAGCGGGTTTGGTGTAAGTACAAATACTGTTCCTTCCAGAATTTGTAATGAAAGACTTAAATGTAGAAATGACTGACCAAAACAAAAATAAACAAGAAAACATCAGTGATCGAACAGAAGTATAATAAACTTGAAACTGAGCTTGAAAAACACATGTTTATTTAATTAACAGATTAATGAGTACACACTGGGAAACGCCACTGTGAATGCCACGAAGTACCTGGAGTCAGTGGCTCCCTCTATCACGGATCCCTTCACTCTTGCCATTGTCAGCTACGCCTTGTCTGAGGCTGGTCAGCTCTGTAGCGGATGTCACGTTCACCAAACTCAACGCTGCAGCTGAGGTTAAAGGTAAATTGGTTATGCATTGATGCCACTTATTGAACATTACTACATTATCAACTGTAGATATCTCCGCCGCCATATAGCTGGAATATTGCTGAGTGCGGCGTAAAACTAAACTCACTCACTCACTCTGTAGATATCTCAGCTTCATTGAAAGCAAAATTATACGAATGTGATACAGTTCCTGAGGTACACCGTTTGTCTTTTTTGTCGTTGTGATGTCTTTGGTACACACTGCATAATATAAAAACATTTGCTGAAAAGGTGTGATCATTACATTATTTTCAGATACACTCAAACACTGGACCGAACCCAATACCGCCTCCTCTAACTACTACACAAAATGGACTCCTCCACACACCCAAGCCCAACCAATTGACATCCAGACTACAGCCTATGCCCTACTGGCGTCGTCTTCACGTGGTGATCTCAAAGGAGGTCTTCCAATCACAAACTGGTTGACGTCACAGAGGAACCCTTATGGCGGCTTCTCTTCAACACAGGTCAGTGTGTAGTCATGGTGGTCCGATGTCCCCGTTACTTAGTCTGTGTGCAGCTTCGTGCTGGATACAGTTTGAACTGGTAAGAAAGAATCAATCAAAGATCATTATATGTTCGCTGAAAAGCATCTTTGTTTTTAAACATATGTGGGAAAGACATCCCCCACGTGCCGAATTTTTTGGACCTGCGTTCTTCAGGGTTAAGAAAACAGACATGGCGATGACAAACCACAGATCATGAAACAGACGAAGCAGGGATTCGAACCCATGACCTGTGGGTCAGTCTAATGAGAAAGGAAGGCTCATACATAATTGGTGTTACGCAGCAACAGGCTACTTCATAACTTTCCCCATGTCTCTAGTTACTTCATTTTATTAGTCTACTTACTCAAACCTTGCATATTGACAGGACACAATGGTGGCTCTGCACGCACTCACTGACTATGCCCGACGCACACACTTCCGGATTCCAAGCAGAGGTTGACATCAAGAGCGGAAGTGACAGCCAGCACATATCTGTGACAGACAACAACGCACTTGTGCTGCAGTCTAGAGAGGTAGGCTGGAAATAACTTCGATAAACATCTGACAAATGCCTTCAAGCAAAGATTTGAATCACAAATGAGAAAGAACACAAATCGGGGAATGACGAATAATTTTGTATTGAAATCTCGTGAATTCATTTATCCAGACACACAGGGAAGTCTTGGAATATCTCAACACATGTATAACAACTGTTGATTTTTTGTGTATCATGTTTTTGTCCCCAGTTGACGACATTCCCCAAACAAGTATCTCTCACTGCCACTGGTAAAGGTGTTGTTTATGCTGAGGTGAGACATCAACTCTTATTCTCCTTATGAAAACCACAGGCAATTATGATTCAAAAACTCTTTGTTATAAGAACATTTTTTTCAAAGCAAAGACGTAAATATATCTTGGTCTGTACATGTCATCTGTTTGGGTATATGACTGAAAATTATACCTTCACTTTAGAACACGAGTTCTAGTGGAATTATTTCATCCAGACTGTTCGTTGTATACAAATTGTAATGTGAAATTGAAACAGAAAAATATGTTTGTGTTTTGAAACATAAAGCAAACTAATATCCCTGCCTCAATAAAGTCCCGTCCCACCAACCATCGACACATTCACACTGAATAACGAATGCCAAAGAATGAAAACCCTAATAAAGTTCTTAATCCGCGTCTAGGTTGATGTGTTCTTCAACGTGGAGGCAGAGATGGGCAAACCATCCTTTGACATCAGCACCGTACTCTTTGATGACACCATCAACAACTTCAGACTCATGACCTGCACCAAGTAAGGAGGGGCCAACAGTTTTAAAACAAAGAAACAATCGAAAGAAACACAGACTCCATAATATAACCGGAATTTGAATGGACTCTGCTTTAAGCAGATATTTCCATATATTTGAAAAGGGTTTTGTTGCTTTCAGTATCTAGCAGTTGTTTGTTTCTTAGTTGTTTAACCTTAACTACAGCCATATTCCATCTACAAAATGTCTGATGGTGAAACTTTCGACCCCGTTGGCTGGTCCAAAAATCATAACAATGTTTTGTATACTAGCCACATAAAGAAACGGTGCACACAGAAAATGCCCTCATAATTGGAATACAACACAGCAAAGACGAAATGATGTAGACACGTTATAAGCTGGAAGTATCTGACCACAAGAAAATGTCAAAAGAACATGAACAATATCCGTAACGATGACGTCAGAAGTTCAAAATCGAGTAGGAGGTCACACGACGAAGTCACAAAGTCAATAACGGGTATGACCACCGTGTGCGTGAAGCACAGACGTGCATCCAAGACGCATAGAGGCCAGCAAATGAGCATTGAAGGACTGGGGAATGGTCTGGGACGTGGTCATTGCTGTCTGGAACCTGTATCTGAGATGAGTCACCTGAATCCATCTGTCTTGTCTTGGAGTCGTTACGTCGGGAACGCCCAGAACGTGGGTGGTCGGCGACGTCATTACTGTTTCGATAACGCCCTGACCCATGCAGATACCATGTTACGATGGCATTGGAAATGTGCTGCCACCTGTTGTTGGCTCATTCCTGCTCGAACCATTCCAATGGCTGCATGACGTTGAGCAAATGTTAATCTTGGCATGATGTGCATGTGACTGGGCTCATGTGAATTGATGAACGTTTGAATGACCAAAGATCAAGCTTTCGACAGTGACAGCAATTTCAGAGTTTCACATCTGTACGGGCTGCACATTGCAGTAACACACAGTTATGACACTGCATGCGGGAGCATTTGATTTGTTCTATGTTCACTTATCTCAGATACGCTGTGGCCTATACAACGTCCATTTGTATGTACAGTATACATGCCTGTCCACATAATTCTAACAAATTTATTTTGCATGGTGACGAACAACGAGAAATGTTGGAGAGAAGCTATTAAATGTTCGTCAAAGAAATAATTGTGATTAACGATTAGGGTGGTTGAAGAAAGGATCCAGTGGCATGACGGCGGTGGATCTATAGGCCCTGATATGAAGTCAATTGTTGGCCTTACACGTGTTGAAGACGAATGTTGTTGCATTTATTTCTACATCTCAGTAATCATGTAGCGTTTTTAATCTTTACGGAAGTTACAGAAAACTGAACTCAGAAAATGGTCTCCTTGTTGCCTGAGAACCGGCATGGTGACCGAAAGCCCAGCTGTACAGTCTACGATTACTCAGTGAGTAATGTAATTACAGTTGAAGACGGCATTTTTTTTACCAGAATCATGACGGAAACAGATGAACTAGAAATGGCGTGTTTGTTGCCGGTACATACATATCCCCTGGCTATATAAATAAGAGCGTATTGGTGTCAACCGGCTAGTAACTGTATTTTTCTGTATTTTCTGAGATTTACCGAATACTGAACTAGAAATGTTCACCCTGTTGCCGGATTCATATGAAATTGTAAACCGGAGTACTCAAGAATCCAATTTGTAGATTTTAGAATGACAAACAGATAATAGCATGTTTGTGTACGTCATACCAGCTATCAAAATGGAGTATTGGTGTCAGCGTAAGAATTAAATGTGGTTGGTTTTCTCTTTCAGGTAACCAAGGTGCTACATTCTATGAAACCCGCAGTCTCAAGAAGGCCACCATCTGTGATGTGTGTCGCAAGTGTTGCCCCCCAGGTGAGGTCCTAGGTTATCTCCCTTTGGCGTGGTGCTCATTTCTATAAAGACTGAAGTGGCGGATGGGTAGCCTAATGGCTAATCGCAACGTAGAAGACCCGGATTCGATTCCACACATATATGTGAAACCCATTTCTGGTGTCCCCCGCCGTGATATTTCTGGAAATGTTGCTAAAAGCAGTGAAAAACATATCCACTCACTCATTAGAAATACTAAGATTCTGTACCTTATATTCAAAAGATTTGCTAAATTGTAAAGTATCGAGATCTTACTGTTTAAGAGAGAATTTTGTTTCAAACTAGGAACTCCAGTATCATTGTGCTTCGTATCTACTACATTATTAATGTTAAAGCTGATTGATGATGCTTGCTTAAGTCATTTGAAATGCTTGATGTCTATTTTCAGGCGTAAGGATGACGAAGACAGATGAAGATGGATAAAGTTCATTATGTTAACATAAAAAAATAAATGCCTGAAAAAGGTGTATACTGGTTGGTCGTTTTTGCAAGAGGCAGGCCATCCTCCTCATTATCAGGCAATGCTTTATTTGGATATTATACCTGTGTTCTTTTCTTATGAGTTCAGTTGAAACCAAATGTTTAGTAAGTCTTAGTAGTATTTCATAATGTATACTGATATGTCATGTGTATATATATACACAGTGTTATGATGAAACAGGAAACAACAAACAAAATGCTATATGATTTTCCATGGAAATGCAGCATTCTGAGACTTTATTGAACGTACAAGTCATATAGCGTGCCCTGTTTTCCGTTGTGAGGAAGGCTTTGTTATAAATTTGACTAAAGGAATGAAGAATGAAGAACTGACACCAAGTGTGTTAGGAATGAGATTTGGTAATGGAATCGACAGCAAGAAATATGTATACAGCCTTTCAACACTGTCATATTTCAGTGTGAAATACTGTACAAGAGTCAGGAATTCGTTTCATAATATACCCACATCGGAGTGTCATAGCGATCATCTCCCAGATGGAACCTTGGTTCCACTGGGTCTCGGCATCGACTGCAGCAGGGTGATTTATGGGGAGATATATTCACATAATAGAACAATACATGCACATGAAGTTCAGCATCCAGTATCACTGCAATATTTGAAACAGGCATCAGCTGCGTGTAGAAACGTGCGATGTATCCACGTCTTGTGTCACGTAGTCTAGGACTGCAAGGCAATGCATAAACTCTGATTAGCCTAAACCCAATGAAAGAAAGGGGTACAAAAATCGCACCCTGCGTTATACAATACGTTTTGTTCCGTTTGGTTCTCCCGTGATACTCTCACCATAGTCTAGGAGTGCAAGACAGTGCTTAAAATCCCGATTAGCCTTTCAAAACCTTATAGAAGAAAAGGGTGCTTAAACGCGCCCTAAAAACTACAATGATGACATATATCTCGTTGAAGCAGAAAATACAAGTGAAAACACATCTGATGATAATTCACTAGCAAATTACCTTTTGGCCACAGCCGGCACACTGGGAACATATCTGGCAGAAATTCGACGTCTTCAGTCTACGCGGCTGGTAGGAGACCACAGTGTTATCATCTGTAACAGATAGCACATTACAAGTGACCACAATGTTATCATCTGTGAAAGCGTGCACATTACGAGTGACCACAATGTTATCATCTGTGAAAGATAGCACATTACAAGTGACCACAATGTTATCATCTGTAACAGATAGCACATTACGAGTGACCACAATGTTATCATCTGTAACAGATAGCACATTACAAGTGACCACAATGTTATCATCTGTGAAAGAGAGCACATTACAAGTGACCACAATGTTATCATATGTGAAGATAGCACATTACAAGTGACCACAATGTTATCATATGTGAAGATAGCACATTACGAGTGACCACAATGTTATCATCTGTGAAAGATAGCACATTACAAGTGACCACAATGTTATCATATGTGAAAGATAGCACATTACAAGTGACCACAATGTTATCATCTGTAACAGATAGCACATTACGAGTGACCACAATGTTATCATCTGTAACAGATAGCACATTACAAGTGACCACAATGTTATCATCTGTGAAAGAGAGCACATTACAAGTGACCACAATGTTATCATATGTGAAAGATAGCACATTACGAGTGACCACAATGTTATCATATGTGAAAGATAGCACATTACGAGTGACCACAATGTTATCATCTGTGAAAGAGAGCACATTACAAGTGACCACAATGTTATCATCTGTGAAAGATAGCACATTACAAGTGACCACAATGTTATCATATGTGAAAGATAGCACATTACGAGTGACCACAATGTTATCATCTGTGAAAGATAGCACATTACGAGTGACCACAATGTTATCATCTGTGAAAGAGAGCACATTACAAGTGACCACAATGTTATCATCTGTGAAAGATAGCACATTACGAGTGACCACAATGTTATCATATGTGAAAGATAGCACATTACGAGTGACCACAATGTTATCATATGTGAAAGATAGCACATTACAAGTGACCACAATGTTATCATCTGTGAAAGATAGCACATTGCAAGTGACCACAATGTTATCATATGTGAAAGATAGCTACATTACAGAAAGTGACCACAATGTTATCATATGTGAAAGATAGCACATTACAAGTGACCACAATGTTATCATCTGTGAAGATAGCACATTACGAGTGACCACAATGTTATCATATGTGAAAGATAGCACATTACGAGTGACCACAATGTTATATCATCTGTGAAAGATAGCACATTACAAGTGACCACTATGTTATCATATCAGAAAGATAGCACATTACAAGTGACCAAAATGTTATCATCTGTGAAGATAGCACATTACGAGTGACCACAATGTTATCATCTGTGAAAGATAGCACATTACAAGTGACCACTATGTTTATCATGTGTGAAGATAGCACATTACAAGTGACCAAAATGTTATCATCTGTGAAAGATAGCACATTGCAAGTGACCACAATGTTATCATATGTGAAAGATAGCACATTACGAGTGACCACAATGTTATCATCTGTGAAAGATAGCACATTACGAGTGACGGTGTTGTTATCATCTGTGAAAGATAGCACATTACGAGTGACCACAATGTTATCATATGTGAAAGATAGCACATTACGAGTGACCACAATGTTATCATCTGTGAAAGATAGCACATTACAAGTGACCACAATGTTATCATCTGTGAAAGATAGCACATTACAAGTGACCACAATGTAATCATGTGTGAAAGATATCACATAACAAGTGACCACAATGTTATCATCTGTGAAAGATAGCACATTACGAGTGACCACAATGTTATCATCTGTGAAAGATAGCACATTACAAGTGACCACAATGTTATCATCTGTGAAAGATAGCACATTACAAGTGACCACAATGTTATCATCTGTGAAAGATAGCTCATTACGAGTGACCACAATGTTATTATCTGTGAAAGATAGCACATTATAAGTGACCACAATGTTATCATCTGTGAAAGAGAGCACATTACAAGTGACCACAATGTAATCATGTGTGAAAGATAGCATTACATTACAAGTGACCACAATGTTATCTGTGAAAGAGAGCACATTACAAGTGACCACAATGTTATCATCTGTGAAAGAGAGCACATAACAGGTGACCACAATGTTATCATATGTGAAAGATAGCTACTACAACAAGTGACCACAATGTTAACATCTGTAACACAACGCATTACATTTGGTAACATTTTGTGTCAGAACTTAATTAAATTACGTTGTATCACGTTTATGGACAAAGGTCCTCTAACATCCCATAACGTTACCATGACAACATGAATATTATGAAGCAACCATACCGCCAGTCACATAATGTTGTTCCCTTGTTACTTAGCTTGTAAGAGTCCCAATTGGTCCAATATAATATAACTCACTTGGCTTGTAATAATCCACCATGGAAATGTAGACAGGTTTGTTCCCAGCCACCATGCTCGTCCTGGAGCAAGACAGCTTCATGCACGTGGATGTCTTCCCAACCTACACAGAATACATAAGTATGTTGAGCAAAGACACATGGCACAACGAAACCTGATGATTCCTATCTCAACCACGACTGGTGATATGCTGGAAACCAACCCAGTATATAACTCGGTCTGGATATTTCCAGGCCAAACCATTATGTTCAGGAAATAACTATTTCAACTTCAGAGGTATTCCACAAACACAGTGCAATACTATTCATCCATGAGGGTGAGGAAAGGATGATGGGATGTTGAACAATGTCTTTGCTAAAGGTGGTAGAGATGTGTAGGTGTTGTCTAGGTGATGTGCAGATTATGACTTAGAGGCCAATGTCCAAGAATGAGGAAGTGTTCATTCAGATGTGTATATTGGGATGTGGTTACAATAGAGTTGTGAGAGGCTTATTTCTGACACACATGCGAGTGATGTAAGGTAAAAATCTCCAGTTTGTTTCTCTACTCTTTGAAGCCAATGAAAAGAAGCTATGTTGGCATGGCCAATATACCGGCATTTTATACACATTGTCCACCAACTTGTAGCAAAGAATAAACTTACTGCCAGTAACCAGCGCCGTAGTGGCTGGAGTGGGTTAGATCGCTGACTTTGTGCAATGATGATGAGGTGGCTAACTCTGAGGAGTGTGGGTTCGAATCAAGTTGGGACTCAACCCAAAAAATTGTAGAATATGTGCTTTACTGAGGATTTGCTATTTCAAAAATATAATTATAGAGTATAAAACCTACCGAGTCAAAGTAGGCGATGACTTGACCGTCTGTCTGCTCCAGGCGTTTTCAGTCCCGCAAATGTTGCCTGCGCTGGTGAGGATCAGCCGTGAACCCGGAGGAACTTCGGATCGTCTGAACACACATCCACTGGATCCCTCCTGAAGTGATGTCTGTCAAGAGGAGGAAATATGTAGATTTAGAATAAAAATATTTGTTTCCTTACCCTGACTCCTAACCGCTTATCTCCATCTTCCCGAAATGTTGTGGACGCGCCATGTGTGAGTGAGTGAGGTTTAGTTTTACGCCGCACTCAGCAATATTCCAGCTATATGGTGGCGGTAGTCTGTTAATAATCGAGTCTGGACCAAACAATCCAGTGATCAACAGCATTAGGGCATCGATTGCGCACTTAAGGAACTGATGACATATGTTAACCAAGTCAGCGAGCCTGACCATCCGATCCCAAGTTAGTCGCCTCTAAACGACAAGCGTTGGTTGCCTGAAGGCACACATTCTAACCCGGACCTTCACGGGTACGTCAAGTGATGCAGAGGAAACAGAAAGAACAGATATGTCACCTAAACGCACCTTTGTGCACACAGTGGAACAAGCCAACTAATCCTGCTTAATATCTCTATTTTTTTAGTCCGAAGATATATACGGATTTGAGCGGGGATGGTTGAGTATAAAAATAATCAGATTGTGCGTTTTGAGCATCCTTTAATTTGTGCAATATCAGCAGAATATGAAGATTGGAAAATATAGACTTCTCCATGGAACAAATAAGGGAACGCACATGAAGAAATTACAAGTGTTCCGCTGTTCTTCCAGGATTGATCCTGAGTTATGCATTGCACTGTGATTGAGATAAATAAATAGAAAGTAGACACTTGTACTTTCCAAAGCGTTTTCCTTATTTGTTTTCCATGAGTATATATACAAATTTACATTATTACTAACTAACGTGGTATAGTCTGGGGAACAAGCCAAGGACGTAAATGAGGGTGAGGAGATCATTGTTTTCGGACACACCGTTAATATGCGCTATCTACACAGAGAAAATATGATTTTACACGACTTCCTTGGCCGACTGTGCACACCATATTACAAGGACATGATAGGAACACATACTTACGGAACATGTCATGAGTAGAAGCCGTTGATGGTGTCGTCGAGGGCACCGTGCTGACGTCGAAAACGTCATTGTCATCGCCCACAGAGTCCACGTTAAAACATGCCCAACTAGAAACGAAAGAAAATGTTAAGATACGACGACAACATGAACTAAAATTAGTGCCTAGGTATGCGAGCATTACGTATAACCGTATGCTCAATGGTATGTGAGATCTTGAGATCAGATTGGAAGCAACGTTCGCCATGGAGAGCCCTTTGATGGCCATGATGATGGAACAACCGTGTTTGGCAGCTTGATTCACACTACAAAAGCACGATGCACACACGTCTCGTCTCACCTTAGGCAAAGTGAGTTTGTTCCATAAATCTGCCTTTTGTTCACTTACCCAGAAGAGAAAATCGGTACCCGATGGGACGAAGTCATATGATCTTCCAGCCCTCACAGGCAGCGTGGGTTATCCGGGTAATAATGACCATCAAGCCGTATGCGCTTAGAATCACAATGTCGCTGCGGGTAAGTTCTGCGCCCCCATTTGGCCAGAAGCCATTATTATTTATTATTATTGGCGGAAGTGTTTAATCTTTACGAGGCATGCCAACACAAAGGTACTGCACCTCAACAACAGCGAAACCACTTCCCTTCTGCGGAAATCTTCAACACTGATGGAATGAACGATAGCTGAATTCAGAATATAAGATATCATTAGATTCATTTAAAGGGTTCGTGAACATTTCCAG